GGGTCTCTGTGTGAGTCGATGAGTCTCTGTGTGAGTCTGTGGGTCTCTGTGTGAGTCTACAAGGCTCTGTGTGAGTCTGTGGGTCTCTGTTTGAGTCTATGGGTCTCTGTGTGAGTCTAAGAGGCTCTGTGTGAGTGTGGGTGGAGCTCTGTGTGAGTGTGGGTCTCTGTGTGAGTGTGGGTCTCTGTGTGAGTCTGTGGGTCTCTGTGTGAGTCTGTGGGTCTCTGTGTGAGTCTACAAGGCTCTGTGTGAGTCTGTGGGTCTCTGTTTGAGTCTATGGGTCTCTGTGTGAGTCTAAGAGGCTCTGTGTGAGTGTGGGTCTCTGTGTGAGTGTGGGTCTCTGTGTGAGTGTGGGTCTCTGTGTGAGTCTGTGGGTCTCTGTGTGAGTCTGTGGGTTTATGTGTGAGTCTATGGGTCTCTGTGTGAGTCGATGGGTCTATGTGTGAGTCTACGAGGCTCTGTGTGAGTGTGGTCTCTGTGTGAGTCTATGGGTCACTGTGTGAGTCTGTGGGTTTCTGTGTGAGTCTATGGGTCTCTGTGTGAGTCTATGGGTCTCTGTGTGAGTCTATGGGTTTATGTGTGAGTCTATGGGTCTCTGTGTGAGTCTGTGGGTCTCTGTGTGAGTCTATGGGTCTCTGTGTGAGTCTGTGGGTCTTTGTGTGAGTCTATGGGTCTCTGTGTGAGTCTCTGTGTCTGTGTGAGTCTATGGGTTTCTGTGTGAGTCTATGGGTCTCTGTGTGACTCTGTGGGTCTCTGTGTGAATCTATGGGTCTATGTGTGAGTCTATGGGGCTATGTGTGAGTCTATGGGTCTCTGTGTGAATCTATGGGTCTATGTGTGAGTCTATGGGGCTATGTGTGAGTATATGGGTCTCTGTGTGAGTCTGTGGGTCTCTGTGTGAGTCTGTGGGTCTCTGTGTGAGTATGTGGGTCTCTGTGTGAGTTTATGGGTCTCTGTGTGAGTCTATGGGTCTCTGTTTGAGTGTATGGGTCTCTGTGTAAGTCGATGGGTCTATGTGTCTGTGTGAGTCTGTGGGTCTCTGTGTGAGTCTATGGGTCTCTGTGTGAGTCTATGGATCTCTGTGTGAGTCTATTGGTCTATGTGTGAGTCTATGGGTCTCTGTGTGAGTCTGTGGGTCTCTGTGTGAGTCTATGGGTCTCTGTGTGAGTCTATAGGTCTCCGTGTGAGTCTATGGGTCTCTGTGTGAGTCTATAGGTCTCCGTGTGAGTCTATGGGTCTCTGTGTGAGTATATGGGTCTCTGTGTGAGTCTATGGGTCTCTGTGTGAGTCTTCGGGTGTCTGTGTGAGTCTATGGCTCTCTGTGTGAGTCTATGTGTGTATGTTGAACTTCCTTCGCGTCATACGTAGCCAACCGTGCTAATCGGAGGTGCAGGGGGAGGACAACAAACTAAACACACCCAAAAAAGCAGTTAAAAAGAAATGAGTTTTCAATCGAGATTTTAAAATTCGTAGCTCATGTGGCTGCCTAATATCGTAAAGAAGAGACCCTGACGTCTTACAATCCCACACCGCTCTCTCACAATCCCACACCGCTGACTTACAATCCCACACCGCTCACAATCCCACACCGCTCACAATCCCTGCTGCCTCACAATCCCACACCGCTCACAATCCCTGCTGCCTCACAATCCCACACCGCTCACAATCTCACACCGCCGCCTCACAATCCCTGCTGACTCACAATCCCACACCGCTCTCAATCCCACACCGCTGACTTACAATCCCACACCTCTCACAATCCCACACCGCTCTCAATCCCACACCGCTGACTCACAATCCCACACCTTTCACAATCTCACACCGCCGCCTCACAATCCCTGCTGACTCACAATCCCACACCGCTCACAATCCCTCACCGCTCTCTCACAATCCCACACCGCTCACAATCCCTCACCGCTCTCTCACAATCCCACACCACTCACAATCCCACACCACTCACAATCCCACACCGCTCACAATCCCACACCGCTCACAATCCCTCACCGCTCACAATCCCACACCACTCACAATCCCACACCACTCACAATCCCACACCGCTCTCTCACAATCCCACACCGCTCACAATCCCACACCACTCACAATCCCACACCACTCACAATCCCACACCACTCACAATCCCACACCGCTCTCTCACAATCCCACACCGCTCACAATCCCACACCGCTCACAATCCCTCACCGCTCTCTCACAATCCCACACCGCTCACAATCCCACACCACTCACAATCCCACACCGCTCACAATCCCACACCGCTCTCTCACAATCCCACGCCACTCACAATCCCACACCGCTCACAATCCCACACCACTCACAATCCCACACCACTCTCTCACAATCCCACACCACTCACAATCCCACACCACTCTCTCACAATCCCACACCGCTCACAATCCCACGCCACTCACAATCCCACACCGCTCACAATCCCACACCACTCACAATCCCACACCACTCTCTCACAATCCCACACCACTCACAATCCCACACCACTCTCTCACAATCCCACACCACTCACAATCCCACACCACTCTCTCACAATCCCACACCGCTCACAATCCCACACCACTCACAATCCCACACCGCTCTCTCACAATCCCACACCACTCACAATCCCACACCGCTCTCTCACAATCCCACACCGCTCACAATCCCACACCACTCACAATCCCACACCGCTCTCTCACAATCCCACACCGCTCACAATCCCACACCACTCACAATCCCACACCACTCTCTCACAATCCCACACCGCTCACAATCCCACACCACTCACAATCCCACACCACTCTCTCACAATCCCACACCACTCACAATCCCACACCACTCACAATCCCACACCGCTCTCTCACAATCCCACACCGCTCACAATCCCACACCGCTCTCTCACAATCCCACACCGCTCACAATCCCACACCGCTCTCTCACAATCCCACACCGCTCACAATCCCACACCACTCACAATCCCACACCACTCTCTCACAATCCCACACCGCTCACAATCCCACGCCACTCACAATCCCACACCACTCACAATCCCACACCACTCTCTCACAATCCCACACCACTCACAATCCCACACCACTCTCTCACAATCCCACACCACTCACAATCCCACACCACTCTCTCACAATCCCACACCACTCACAATCCCACACCGCTCTCTCACAATCCCACACCACTCACAATCCCACACCACTCACAATCCCACACCGCTCTCTCACAATCCCACACCGCTCACAATCCCACACCGCTCTCTCACAATCCCACACCGCTCACAATCCCACACCACTCACAATCCCACACCGCTCTCTCACAATCCCACGCCGCTCACAATCCCACACCACTCACAATCCCACACCACTCACAATCCCACACCGCTCACAATCCCACACCGCTCACAATCCCACACCACTCACAATCCCACACCACTCACAATCCCACACCACTCACAATCCCACACCGCTCACAATCCCACACCGCTCACAATCCCACACCACTCACAATCCCACACCACTCACAATCCCTAACCGCTCACAAGCCCACACCGCTCACAATCCCACACCGCTCACAATCCCACACCGCTCACAATCCCTAACCGCTCACAAGCCCACACCGCTCTCTCACAATCCCACACCGCTCACAATCCCACACCGCTCACAATCCCTAACCGCTCACAAGCCCACACCGCTCTCTCACAATCCCACACCGCTCACAATCCCACACCACTCACAATCCCACACCACTCACAATCCCACACCACTCACAATCCCACACCGCTCACAATCCCACACCGCTCACAATCCCACACCGCTCACAATCCCACACCACTCACAATCCCACACCACTCACAATCCCACACCGCTCACAATCCCACACCGCTCTCTCACAATCCCACACCGCTCTCTCACAAGCCCACACCACTCACAATCCCACACCGCTCACAATCCCACACCACTCACAATCCCACACCACTCACAATCCCACACCGCTCTCTCACAAGCCCACACCACTCACAATCCCACACCACTCACAATCCCACACCACTCTCTCACAATCCCACACCGCTCTCTCACAATCCCACACCACTCACAATCCCACACCGCTCTCTCACAAGCCCACACCACTCACAATCCCACACCGCTCTCTCACAATCCCACACCGCTCTCTCACAATCCCACACCGCTCTCTCACAATCCCACACCACTCACAATCCCACACCACTCTCTCACAATCCCACACCACTCACAATCCCACACCACTCACAATCCCACACCACTCTCTCACAAGCCCACACCACTCACAATCCCACACCACTCACAATCCCACACCGCTCTCTCACAATCCCACACCGCTCTCTCACAATCCCACACCACTCACAATCCCACACCGCTCTCTCACAATCCCACACCGCTCTCTCACAATCCCACACCACTCACAATCCCACACCGCTCACAATCCCACACCGCTCTCTCACAATCCCACACTGCTCTCTCACAATCCCACACCGCTCACAATCCCACACCACTCACAATCCCACACCACTCACAATCCCACACCACTCACAATCCCACACCGCTCTCTCACAATCCCACACCGCTCTCTCACAATCCCACGCCGCTCACAATCCCACACCGCTCTCTCACAATCCCACACCACTCACAATCCCACACCGCTCTCTCACAATCCCACACCACTCACAATCCCACACCGCTCTCTCACAATCCCACACCGCTCACAATCCCACACCGCTCTCTCACAATCCCACACCGCTCACAATCCCACACCGCTCTCTCACAATCCCTGCTGACTCACAATCCCACCCCTCTCACAATCCCACACCGCTCTCTCACAATCCCTGCTGACTCACAATCCCACCCCTCTCACAATCCCACACCGCTCTCTCACAATCCCTGCTGACTCACAATCCCTGCTGACTCACAATCCCACCCCTCTCACAATCCCACACCCGGCTGCCTCACCGGGATGGGGCCTCTCCCCTGGCACGGCCAGCAGCTTGGCCTCCGTGATGTCCTTGAAGGAGGCAAGGAAGAGCACCACCTCCCGTTTCTCATTCTTGATGGGGACGATATCGAGCAGACACCAGAACGTCGACCCTGCGGGTGACAGAACGCGGCCAACGCGCAGTGCCGGATGAAGCAAAGTTGCGGGGCCTCTAGCATGTGATGTTATCAAGGGGCCTAAACTATGTAAAAAATAAAACACAATTTTTTTTACTTGCATAGTAAAGTAATTGTAATTTTTCACTTGCTATACAGCCAGATAATACGACAGATCGCTAACCTTAAACACCCGGTCGTTCATTAAAAGTCGAAGGCAGTGTAGTACTATAGTAATAGAGCAAGTGCAGAATCACTGAACCGGAATTGATAGCTTGAAAGCATTTAGCGCGGGGCCTTTGAAAGAGCGGGACCCGTAGCTACTACATATGTAGCTACTACTACATATGTAGTAGTATGTACATATGTACATACTACTACATATGTAGGAGCTACTACATGTGTAGCCACTACATATGTAGCTACTTGTGCTGCTAGAATAATCCGGCACTGCCAACGCGAACATAAAAACAGATAGAGGTGCAGCCCTGCAATTGCTTGTTTACGCCGCTGCTGGTGGGGAGGAGGGGTGGGGGCTCCACTCCAATAACCCCCCCCCAAAGATCTCCTCCCCGCTGCCATAATTCTCAGCGGAAGTCGGATGTACCCACACTTTACCCCACCTCACTGGACCTGCCGATCCACTGACTGCAGTGTAATCCATTTATTAAATCTTTTATATTAAGTTCGCATGCTTGCTTGCTTGCTTGCGTGCTTGCTTGCTTGCTTACGACCGTGCAAATCTTTCGGTCGTTTTTTTAACCCACTTCCCGTGATCCAATCGAGCTGACATGTTCCACACAGACTCGTTGTGCCAGACAATTAATGTTCGTGAAAAAAAATTCCCAAAATTTTACACTTTTTAGGCAAAAAAAAATATTTTACATATATTCAAATAGAACTCATTCATGGCTTTGGCTGAACGTCACAGTGTAAGAGCCCAGAGCGTAACCCCTCCACAGGCCGTGGTGGAGTAGCGCAGTTGGTAGCGCCCTCGCTTCCCATGCCAAAGGTCGCGGGATCGATCCCCGCGTCCTCCACAGGCGAATACATTTTTAAATCCTTTATATTAAGTTCGCTGCCACGCATATAAAGGATTTATAGTGAAAAACTTTGTTTTTACGGGTTATACTTATAGCGCTGTTCATCTCCGCACGCATCTGTGTGTGTATCTCTGTGTATGGTATGCATCTCGGTGTGTGTCTGTGCGTGTATCTGTGGCTAAAGCACATCAAGTTGGCACAGTAGGGGGCACAGATGGTGCATCAGCCACTCATCTCGGTCATCGCAGTCAGTCGACCCGTGGCAACCTACTGGGTCTGCCCCGTGACCTCCTGCCAGCGGGCGTTCGACACTTCACGTGGCAGCCTCAAGGTGCACATAGCCTGGCACAAGCGTCGTGGTGACGTCACCGCCACTTAGTGGCGAATGTCGGTTGTTGTTATTGTTGTTATCTGTGTGTGTGTATTTGCGTGTGAGACTGCTAAGCAGACTCCGGTGGTTTATATTGATAATGAAGGTTTTATTGGGTTAGATCGCGTCAATATGAATGCGTCATTAACCCCCCGCCACCACACGACAGAGACATTTAATAAGGGGTTTGTCACGTGAACAAAATGTGCCAATTAGTTACTACATCAGCACACCGGTGTGTTAGAGAGTAAACCCACGATCATTTACAATTTGAGTACGACATTTCGCCGGTGATTGCAGCCAGCTTCATTCGGCGATTTAACAGATATTGTGAAGACGTCTTGGCTATGTTAACTTAACTATTTAAAATCCTTTATATTAAGTTCGCTTGCTTGCTTGCTTGCGTGCTTGCGTGCTTGCTTGCTTACGACCGTGCAAATCTTTCGGTCGTTTTTTAACCCACTTCCCGTGATCCAATCGAGCTGACATTTTGCACACAGACTCGTTGTGCGTGACAATTAATGTTCGTGAATTTTTTCCAAAATTTTACACTGTTTAGGGAAAACAAATGAAATATTTAATTACCAATTGCTTAATACTGGCAGACAATCATCTGACCCATAGGTGGCAGCCATCTCAAGCCAGAGGACGAGAGGACTCTAAGCGCCCGTTTCATGATGACGCAAATGTTGACTAACCACATGGCATGAAATCCCTGCCCCCAAGCTGTACATTGGAGACTATTTATAGAGCAGTTAAATTGAAGCCGCCAGGTTCTTGAAAGTGGTAAAACGGGTCAACGCTAGTGCCCTCGGGAATATACCGGGCATGTCAAGAGGTGATCTTTCATTTTTAAATCCTTTATATTAACTTCACTTGCTTGCTTGCTTGCTTACTCAAGAAAAACAGAAATGAATAATAAAATGAAACCGATGCCACGCATATAAAGGATTTATAGTGAAAAACTTAGTTTTTACGGGTTAATTTTTATTTAAATCCTTTATATTAAGTTCACTTGCTTGCTTGCTTGCGTGCTTACGACCGTGCAAATCTTTCGGTTGTTTTTTAACCCACTTCCCGTGATCCAATCGAGCTGACATTTTGCACACATACGCGTTGTGCCTGACAATTTCTTTTCGTGAAAATTTTTTTCCCAAAATGTTACACTTTTTAGGTACATTTTTTTTATATTTAATTACCAATTGCTTAATGGTGGCAGGCAATCATCTGACGCATAGGTGGCAGCCATCTCAAGCCAGAGGACGAGAGGACTCTAGCCGCCCGTTTCAAAGACCAATGTGGGCTGGGTTGTGGCCCATTGAACACGCATATAAAGGATTTATAGTGAAAAACTTTGTTTTTACGGGTTAATTTTTTTAATTTGAGCAGGTAAGGTCCACTAAGCTATATAGCTCATTTTCAGAAGCGACCCGGCCACAAATGATAGCTCAACGAAGTGGAAATTGATTGCAGCTAAATACTTTAAACGCGTGTTTCTAAATATTGGTGGGAAAAACCGGAGGACCTGGAGAAAAATCCACGCGATCACGGGGAGAGAGAGACACACACAAACTCCAAGTAGTATACAGCAGGCATCAGGGTCGGGATCGAACCCACGACGACCTCCCGTATACCAGTGAACATCTCAGCACAATTGCAAGGCTGGTAAAACAAAAACAACGAAAGAAACATTCATCAAGAATTACTCTTTGGTTCTTTCGGTAAAGTCACGTATAAAGAGAAAATAATAAATTAAATAATAGCATACGATGTTTCGATTGCAACACAAGCAATCATCATCAGGTACGAATGCAAGAGGAAACAAACCTAGCAAACTTGGAAATATAATGCGATACAACACAGAGAGTCGGCTAACATAACAGTCAACATCCTACCTGGTTGATTACGTTCTTCCAAAGATTGCTAAATTTGAGAGAGAGGCAAAACACAGACACGGAGACACACAGACAGACACATAAGCAGAGAGAGAGACAACACAGAGACACACAGAGAGAGACACATACATAGACACACAGAGAGAGATATACAGAGACAAACAGAGAGAGACACACACATAGACACACAGAGAGAGAAAACACAGAGACACACAGAGAGACACACACGGAGACACATAAGCAGAGAGAGACAACACAGAGACAAACAGAGCGAGAGGCACATAGACCCACAGACAGACACATAAGCAGAGAGAAAGACAACACAGAGACACACACAGAGAGAGACACACACATAGGCACACAGAGAAATAACGCCTCTGTGTCGAGGCCTTAAATAGAGAGAGAGAGGGGGCCTTCAAGGAGCAGTGGGCGATGGAGGAGGCCGTGTGCTCGTTGGCAGATGACGGGGAGCTCTGCATGTTGATATGAGCTACCCGTCGGAGGCCGTCCGACTGCGAGAAGGGCTGCGTGCAGAACGAGAGAGAGCGAGAGAGTGAGAGAGTGAGCGACAGAGTGACCGAGAGAGAGAGTGAGAGAGTGAGCGAGAGAGTGAGAGAGTGACCGAGAGAGTGAGCGAGAGAGTGAACGAGAGAGTGACCGAGAGAGAGTGAGCGGAGAGTGACTGAGAGAGAGCGAGAGAGTGAACGAGAGAGTGAGCGAGAGAGTGAACGAAAGAATGAGCGAGAGAGTGACCGAGAGAGTGACCGAGAGAGTGAGCGAGAGAGTGAACGAAAGAGTGAGCGAGAGAGTGACCGAGAGAGTGACCGAGAGAGTGAGCGAGAGAGTGAGCGAGAGGTGGGGGTTTACATAAGGCAAAATTAAAAAGAAATGTAAATTTAATAAAAAAAAATTACGAAATGATGAACGAAGCAAAGTGCCGAATACACCGAGCATTTCTTGTTTCCTCTGATCGTAAAAAAAGAGAGAGATGGCGGCGGGGGGTGGGGGGGGGTAGATAAATTATTCATCGAGAAGAAACATTCATTAAAACAAAGCTCACGCTACGGAGGTATTCCACCGCCACACAGCCACACGCCGTCCGCTCACCGTCCTTCTTGTAGAAGAGCATCTCGGCCTTGGTCTCTCGCTGCTCCATCAACCCCTTCTGGATGAGGCCCGCGGCGTATTCCGCCGTCTGTGGGCCGTGCAGGAAGCGGCAAGCGCAGCCTCGCTGCATCACCTCGGTGCGAGAGAAGCCGCTGAGCTCGCAGAATCCGTCCGAGCAGTACACGATGGGGTACTCGCGCGGGACCTGCGCGTTGCCCAGCACGAAGTTGCTGTCTGTAGGGCCAGCGGGGGGGTGGGGGTGGGGGGCAAGGTGGGAAGGGGGTTGGAGCAAACGGAGGCCCAAGAAAGAGAAAGTGACCACATTTTCTTTCTCCAAATTTTGTATAATTGTTTTACCAATTTTTTTATATTTTCTTGGTTCTTTCGGTAAAGTCACGTAGAAGGGAAATAAAAAAATAAAAAAATAAAACATGTAATTTGTTGAAGAAATAATTAAAATAAAACATGTTTTATTTTCATTATTTTATTATTTCCATTCTACGTGACTTTACCGAAAGAACCAAGAAGATGAATCCCTGCAGTCACGAAAGCTTTAAATCGAAACGTATATTTGTAAAAAAATAAAAATCTAAGTTTTACAACTTTATTTCTTTCATTTTCGAAATGCTTGTACATTTGTTTACATTAAAAAGGTACACATTTGAATTTTAAAAAATTCTAATTTTTTGGCAATTTTTCCCATTTGTTGAAAAATGTTGGCAATTTTGTACATGTGTTTACGTTTTTTTGTTTACCAGGTAAGGCTGAAACCTTTAAATTTTACTCCAGTTCAATGCCATGCACACAACACTCATTATATTTCGATTTTAAGCTTTCGTGACTGCAGGGATTCATCTTCTTGGTTTTTTCGGTAAAGTCACGTAGAAGGGAAGTAATAAAATAATTAAAATAATTATTTTATTACGTTTTATTTTTATTATTTTATTACTTCCCTTCTACGTGACTTTACCGAAAAAAACAAGAAGATGAACACTCATTATACAAAGGCAATTGGCCGCAACATCCCAAGGCAGAAGCTTCCTGAGTCTTCATACTCAGTGTGGATTTCCTGTATGAATTCATGAATAATATCCCTCTCTCTCTCTGCCTCTCTCAAGTTCTTTCCTCAATGGCAGGTCCATGGCTTGAGCTCCCCTCTCTCAATCCCATCCAATTTTCACCTCGAGACCCCAGAATACCAGCATGAACGAGTCGGCAAAAAGCCAGAGCTGAGTCTAGTGTGAGCTCTTCCACCATCAGTGACGTGAGCACGACATTGCACAGCTGCGCCTTTATCCTTTTGTACTTACGATATCCGAGCAATAATGCCAGTGAAGTGGTTCACGCTCTGTAATGTGGGTCTATTAAAACCACCATCATTGCCCAAGAAATAATGCCAATGAAGCAGTCCACGCTTTGTACCGTGGGTCTATTAAAGCCACCATCATTGCCAAAGAAATAATGCCAATGAAGCAGTCCACGCTCTGTACCGTGGGTCTATTAAAGCCACCATCATTGCCCAAGAAATAATGCCAATGAAGCGGTCCACGCTCTGTGATGTGGGTCTATTAAAGCCACCATCATTGCCCAAGAAATAATGCCAATGAAGCGGTCCACGCTCTGTGATGTGGGTCTATTAAAGCCACCATCATTGCCCACGCAATAATGTCAGTGAAACGGTCCACGTTCTGTGCTGTGAGTCTATTAAATCCACCATCATTGCCCAAGCAATAATGCCAATGAAGCGGTCCACGTTTTGTGCTGTGAGTCTATTAAATCCACCATCATTGCCCACGCAATAATGTCAATGAAGCGGTCCACGTTCTGTGCTGTGAGTCTATTAAATCCACCATCATTGCCCAAGCAATAATGCCAATGAAGCAGTCCACGCTCTGTGATCTGGGTCTATTAAATCCACCATCATTGCCCAAGCAATAATGTCAGTGAAGCGGTCCACGTTTTGTGATGTGAGTCTATTAAATCCACCATCATTGCCCACGCAATAATGTCAGTGAAGCGGTCCACGTTCTATGCTGCGGGTCTATTAAATCCACCATCATTGCTTCCCCGCTGAGCTCCCTTGGGCTCTCTGGCTCCAATGAAGCCAATCACATCCACATCAACTGTACGCAGCACGGCGAAGAGACGTGGAGACGCGTGGAGACTGGGCAGGGTTGGACTGCACCCGCCGTGTTCGCCCGGGGAGTGTCGGAACGGCGCCGCTGACAACGGCCAGTGGACCTCACTGAGATTGCGATCTCGGTGTGTGCACGTGGTGCCCGTGTTGCAAGTGGTGCTCATTGAGAGGGCTTCAGCAGAGAGAGAGAAAGAGAGCGTCCGTGTCGTGTCGTGTCGCTGTTGCTTCTCCTCCGTTGTAGGAGCGCAGGCCACAGTGGGTTGATTCATAATCAACGTTTTTGGGGTTAGATCGCGTTATTTATAAATGTGTCGTAACCCTCCACCAACCGACACGGCCAATCAGCAAAAAAGGTTTCACGTTGACAAAAGACAAATAGTTCACTGCTTTAGCCCACCGGTGTGTTGAAGCGTGAAACCACAACATTTACAATTTTTGAGTAGTACGACGTTTCGCTGGTAATTGCATCCAGCATCATCGGGCAAATTCGCCAGAATGGTGAGGCTCTGCTCTGGCTCCCGGTCTTAAATAGAGCAACGGCAGGGTGACGTCATCATTTATAAATAACGCGATCTAACCCAAAAACGTTGATTATTAATAATATTGGTCGCGAAAGCCTGCGTGTTAAACTCTCTGGGTTTACTCGTTTGTGAGTCTTCAATGTATCTCTATGCGTTTACTGTGTGGTTTAATAGTTTGGATTGCGTGGTCACAATCACACTGCTGTGGCTTATCCTTAATTTACAATTATCTATATAGGTCTATCTGGGTCTCTATGTGTTTATTTATTTCTATGGGTCTATATATATATCTCTATGTGGTGTCTATGTATCTATACGTTTACTCTTGGGTCCATAGTTTGGGTTCTGTGGCTGCAATCGCACTGCTGTGACTTGTCTTTAATGCATCTCCATGTGTCTCAATGCACATATATGAGTCTCTAAGTATCTCAATCTGTCTGTATGGGTCGCTAAGTATATCTGTGTATAGCTCTGGATTTCGTATGGCCTCATGTTCAGCAGATGCATGCCAATAGAGAGCTCTGCTGCTGCTGTTGCTGCTGGTCACGACGAAAGGGCTTCATCAGAGAGAGAGAGAGAGAGTTTGTGTCGTGTCGTGTCGCTGTTCCTCCTCCACCTCTGTTGAAGCAGCGCAAACCACAGTGGGGTTCCTCTGTGGTCCATAGTTTGGGTTACATGGCCACAAACACACCACCTTGTCTTGCATTGTATGTATCTCGATGGGTCTGTATGAGTCTCCATGAGTCTCCGTATATCTCAGTCCGTCTCTGTGTAGATCTATGTACAGCTCTGGCTTGCGTTTGGCCTCATGTTCAACAGGTGAATGCCATTGTGGAGGTCTGCTGCTGCTGCTGCTGTGGCCACGACGAAAGGGCTTTCGCAGAGAGAGAGAGAGTTCGTGTCGTGTCGTGTCGGTGTTCCTCCTCCTACTCCGCTGATAGAGCGCAGAGAACAGTCGACTTACATATTCTTAGGTTTTTTCGGTAAAGTCACGTAGGTAAAAAAATGTAAATTAATAAAAGTAAAATAAAACAAAGTAAAAAATTCACGACGTTTCGGAAGCAACACAAGCCTCCGAAACGTCGTGAATTTTTAATTTTGTTTTATTTTACTTTTATTAATTATTTTTTTTACCTACGTGACTTTACCGCAAGAAACCTAAGAATATGAATCCTTGCAGTCACGAAAGCTTCAAATCTAGAATTAGTCGACTTACAGTGTGGTCCAGATGTCTTGTGACACTCATTAAATTCGCTAAAACGTAATATATTTATTTTTTAAAAGTAAGGTTAATTTATAATATAAATGAATATGCAAAGTGGGGGGGGGGGGGGGGGGGAATGTTAGGGTTCAAATAATTGGGGGTCACAAGACACCTGGACCGCCCTGTACAATATGGGTCCATAGTTTGGGTTGCATGGCCACGATAATTATTGTGCTGCGGTGTCTGGGCCGACGTGAAAGAGTGGGGGGGCCAAAATACCCTTTTCGGGGGGCTCACTCAAACTCCCTCTGAGGGGCCGTCCATAAATGACGTCACGCGATTTTGGACGATTTTTAACCACCCCCCTTGTCACACGGCGTCACAAAAAGTCAGACCGCCCCTCAAATATGACGTCACAAAGCTCTGCCCCCCCCCCCAAAACCATATTTCCATTTTGAAAATAAAACATGCTTCAAATCGCTTTAAACTATTGTCATTGTAGCGCGTATTTAATGTGTTGTTGTAGGAGAGTTGTTATAACAATTTTATATTCATTTAAAATTGCGCATTTTGATGTGACGTCACATTTCTCAAACCCGCCCGCCCTCGTCACACAATGTCACAAATGTCTGACCCCCCCCCTTAGGTTCGTGACGTCATTTATGGACGGCCCTTGAGTGGCCGGTGCCACTTATCCCTTCCAGCGCGACATGTACGCACTAACATGCCACCACCACCACGATTTTGTTTGTTGCAGTACAGAGTTAGCCTGATAACTTTAATCTACATTGTCTTATGCTTCTTCTTGGTTCTTTCGGTAAAGTCACGTAGAATGTAAATAATAAAATAATAAAAATAAAACATAATAAAATACTGAGAATTATTTTATTATGTTTATTTTATTTTATTATTTCCATTCTACGTGACTTTACCGAAAGAACCAAGAAGATGAATCCCTGCAGTCACGAAAGCTTTAAATCGAAATTTAATTATGTTATTATGTTTTATTATTATTTTATTATTTCCCTTCTACGTGACTTTACCGAAAGAACCAAGAAGATGAATCCCTGCAGTCACGAAAGCTTTAAATAAAAATTTGTCTTATGCTTGTTATTGTTTGACTTGCATCCCACTGCGATTGTTGCACACGGCGTTGAAATGCGGTGTTTTTTTCTGGGAAGATTTGGCAGTTTTTTCCAGGATTTTTCTGTTTGCGCGTAAGTCACTTTAAGATGTTTCTTGTTCATGTTTTGTTGCGGTTGTACCCGAGTTCAAGAGCCGCATGGCTCATAGGGTTATATACCTAATACAACACATTCCTGCGGAGGGAGCTGGTAGGAACGTTGGGTTGCTCGGTCAATGGCCAGGGTCAACGGCGGCGTGGTGTATTCCGCAAATATGCCCGACTGTGAGGGCGGGCACAAGCCGGCGTGAGTAGGTTAAACGTTGAGTTTTATAAGGGCACCACGGGGTGACCAGCCCCTCCCCACCCAGCCCCACCCTTTCCACCCCCCACTCAGCCCCACCCTCCCCACCAAGGCCCTCCCCACTTAGCCCCTCCCCACCCAGCCCCTCCCTCCCCACCCAGCCCCTCCCTGCACGACGGACACAATAATCCCCTGTGGGCTGGTGTAACCAGGAGGTTCCTACCAGTATTAGGCCATGAAGTTGGCGGTGTCGTCACTGGTGTAGGCCAATCAGTCTCAAAGACAATGCGTCTGTTGTAAAATAATTATTATCAGAGCGTGTCTGTTTGCATGTTTTGCTACGAGTGTGTGTGGCTCATGCAGACTTGGTGCTTTTAATATTTTAACACCTCCTGTTTTCTTGGTTCTTTCGGTAAAGTCAGAATATGAATCGCTGCAGTCACGAAAGCTTAAAATCAAAATGTGAAACCTCCTGTTTTATGGCCAGTAAGGGTAAAGCATATTTTTCTAAATCATTGTTATCCTGGCAGAAAAAAGGTAAAAAAATAATGGTTTTGAAATGCACACATACTTTTATTTTTACTCAAAAGTAGACAATAAATTATTCCCCCCCTCTCCCCCCCCACCAGAAATTAATAACATTTGATGCGCTGAGAAAAAGTGTTTGGTACGCAAACACTGGGGTGAAAATAACGTATTTTCCTACTTGGGAGTGCAAATAAAAGTGCGTGCATTCAACAACTTGTTATTTTTTTCATCTCATTGTTATACCACCAGCAAACAAAAATATTCCCCCGTAGAAATAAAGGCCACGGTGAGTGACGTCAGGTGGGCAAACATCTCAAACACGGACACCCATTGGCCTCCATCACTTTCCCCCCTCTCGTGCAAACAGGCGGTGCTTCTTTTGCACGGAGCCAACTTACAAGCACAATGCAATTCAACACAATAGCATTTGTAAACACACACACGCACTGGTGGAGCCTGGGGCAAAAGAGCGGACGAATTGTGTGCACACACACGGGCAGTCTCAATGAATTGCCACGATTCGGTGCCGCGGTTTGATTAAAGTACGTGTACAAATCGTGGGGGGGGGGGGGGGGGGGGCTCGGAGATGTTAACTACCTCACCTGGTATACAGGAGGACGTGGGTTCGATCTCAACCCTGACGCCTGCTGCTGTATATTTGGAGTTTGCGTGTCTCTCTCTCTCTCTCATCATCATCACGGTGGCTAGGAGATGTTAACTACCTTGCCTGGTATACAGGAGGTTGTGGGTTCGAACCCGACCCTGACGCCTGCTGCTGTATATTTGGAGTTTGCGTGTCTCTCTCTCTCTCATCATCACGGTGGCGAGGAGATGTTAACTACCTCGCCTGGTATACAGGAGGTCGTGGGTTCGATCTCAACCCTGACGCCTGCTGCTGTATATTTGGAGTTTGCGTGCCTCTCTCTCTCATCATCATCACGGTGGCGAGGAGATGTTAACTACCTCGCCTGGTATACAGGAGGACGTGGGTTCGATCTCAACCCTGACGCCTGCTGCTGTATATTTGGAGTTTGCGTGCCTCTCTCTCTCATCATCATCACGGTGGCGAGGAGATGTTAACTACCTCGCCTGGTATACAGGAGGACGTGGGTTCGATCTCAACCCTGACGCCTGCTGCTGTATATTTGGAGTTTGCGTGCCTTTCTCTCTCTCATCATCATCACGGTGGCTAGGAGATGTTAACTACCTCGCCTGGTATACAGGAGGACGTGAGTTCGATCACTACCCTGACACCTGCTGCTGTATATTTGGAATTCGCGTGTCTCTCTCTCTCTTCTCCCCCCGT